AGTGCATTCTGAGTTGTTTATAGGTTGTTGTTTAATCATTAAAAAAAAAAAAAAAGTCATATACCTCATACAGTTTAATGTGTCTGGCTTCTGCTGTCATCCACTTCCAGCAGTTTGTTTGCTGCTTGATATTGCAAACTGGTGTTTCTTACCATATTATTTTAATGCATTTCTTAATTATAAACACACTGGTTTGTAGAGCAAACAGTTTTACCGTTTACTGCACTTTGTACTTGTTCTCGTTATTTCTCTACAGCGGCTAATAAATCGGAAGTCTCGCACATTCACAGAAAACAGCTTACTTCCGCTTTGACAAATAAGGTGGATACTGTAGGCTATATATTATTAACCAACAACTTAAAACAACGTAATACACTAGCAATCAAATAGCAACATCTTGGGATACAATATCTTGGTACCATATTGGTCATCAACTGATATTTCACTATTGGTTGACACTGTATATTGAATATTAAATTGTTAATTTAAGTTTTGCTATCATTTAACGCTTAAAAAAAGTTGAAAGTTAATAAAAAAAACACTAGTCTTCATAACACTATTAACACTACCATTCAAAAGTTTGAGGTCAATAATATTTTTATGTTTTTGACAGTATGGCTGCATTTATTTGATCAAAAATACAGTAAAACAGAAAAATAACAGTTTACTGTTTTAATATTTTTTTAAATGGAATTTATTAATAGCAAAGCTGAATTTTCAGCAGCCATATACTCCAGTCTTAAGTGTCACATGGTTTACTTCAGAAAGCATTCTAATATGCTGATTTGGTGCTCAAGAAACATTTCTTATGTATATTCTTTAAATCTTTACAGTCACTTTTATGTGCTTTTATAAAGGTATTAATAAAGTATTAATTTCTTGTTTCTGATTGTCAATCAGTCAATCATTAGCAAATCTCAAAGCAAATATTCTTGTTTTATATATATATATATATATATATATATATATATATATATATACAGTGGGTACGGAAAGTATTCAGACCCCCTTAAATTTTTCACTCTTTGTTATATTGCAGCCATTTG